TGAAGCTCACGCATGAAATCTTGAGGAACATCATTTCTTCACCAAATTTTATTAAACTTGTACCAAAATGTTCACAATCCAACATACAATCAATTAGAGCAAACAATTTTGTGAATTGCTTCACCAAACAAAAAACCCCAATTTAATTTTCTTAGGGTTCTTCATAAAAATTGGTGGTGATTGGAGTTGCTGCTAGTCGGCTTTTGAGATGCAGTGGTTGGTGTTGGCAGGTGCTGGTGGGAGTTGGTGTGGTAATTTCGCTGCGATGGTTGTGAACTAACGAAGAAGGAGAGGAAGAAGGGTGGGGTTTCGGGGTGGTGGAGGAAGGGGGGGTGGGGTTCGCGGGTTAGGCGCTCGCGACGGGATAGGGCAGGGGTTGCCGGAGGCCGACGCACCTTCCTGTGCTAGCCCCGGCGACAGGGGGTGGTGGTGACTAGGGTTTTGGGGTGGGCAGGGGGCTTGACGGCAGGGAGGAGGTGGTGGCTTGCCACCTCTAAGTTCTTTTTATTTTTATTTTTTTGTTGTTGTTTTTTTTTTAATTTTTTTTATTATTTTTTTAATTTTTTTAAATATTTTTGGATTTTTTTTAAAATTTTTGTTTAATTATTTTTTTTAAAAAAGGACTAATCAGAAGGTGACACGTGACAAGTGGTGGAGTGAACTGTCAGTCAACTAACAGAAATGACTTTTGGTGATATTGTACTAAACCTCAGTGGCATTTGGTGAATTTTGAAAAACACGATGGCATTTGGTGAATTTTTTAAGTACTCAGTGGCATTTGGTGAAATAGCCGTTTTTTTAAGAACCAAGTCATCTCATCAAATGGTCTTGATTAGTCAAATATTAATGAATTGCTTAGAGTACGTCAAAACGGTCTTGACATCGGACCAATTTTGGAGGACCTGTGATTGTAGGAGATGCATATTGGGGTCATATAACAATGTATGGAAGCTTATATGACTACTAGTCGGCCATAGAAGGCTCGTGGTGACCTTGAGCTAATGATAGAGGCATAAGATGTAAACGGGTAAATTGAAATTTTAAAGGCAAAGTGGTCGGTTCCAACCACCTAAATGCACTCATGGGGTATCTTGTGCTCTATGGAAAGCACCCCACCTATATCCATTTCGGGTCCAAAAAAGCCAAAAATTGTCCAAAATTAAGGTTATAATATCCACGCTTTTGGGCCAATTTCATAATTTTTTTTCAAAATTGAAGTAAATGCATGGGGTGTCCCTCGAGGTCATATAAACTGATACTGGATAAAGAGAGAAGGAGCTAAATAGCAGATTGGAGAAGTAAATCGATCGAAGGGGATTTTTATTTATCCATGAGGGTTTTTTTTTAAATATTTTTTTGTATATTTAAAGTACCAAGCTAGTCATCCCGACAAACGGTACTGATGAGTCAAATATAAATGAACTGTAGAGATTTTATTCACTGTAATGGCTACCATTTTATTGTAGTCATTCTAAAACTGTCCAATCAATATACTCCTCAATATCAGTGTGATAAATCAATCTTTATAAAAGATTTATAGTTTTACCTTGGTTTTAATGAGCTTAATTATATATGTCCCAAAAAAAAAACTACTCCGTATTGAATTTTTTTAAGAAATGATTTAATTTCAAATATAGGCCAATATCACAATGAAAAGTTATATAGCTTATGAACAACTAGACAATAAAAAAAGACTTTAAATTTATACATATTAATAAACACAAGAATATAAGTGACTAATTTGAACTAGATTCAAATCTCTATATAATTTACTCCATTTTTATATATAATTGTATAACATCCATCTTAAAAAGCTTATCATGTGCACATTGTATTAGCAGACATTAACAACAAAATAACATATATGGATGGTCGTCTAGTGTTGTACCATATTAGTTGAGGAAAAAGTTGATACCATTAACAAAAATTGTGCTAAAAATGTCACATCATGGTGCGCAATAAGACAAATTATGTGTTTAATTATGGAATCATATTGTTGTTTGTGACAAAAAGACAATTTATTTGTGAGGGAATAAGCAGAGACTTCATTCAGGAACATTACTTGTCCGCTGCATTCTTCCCAATTTAAGTCAGTGCAACTATTATAAACATGGATTGCATTATTCACCATTATCTTGAGTTTTTGGTTTTTACCATTGAATATATCTTTCATTCTTTATGCAACTATATTGTAAAGATAGAAATCATGCATGTAAAAATTATGATTTAAGTTTTATTTTTTTACAATTTTATAATTAAAATAACTTGTTCTTTGAGTACGGCACCAATAAGTGTGGACATTACCATATCGTGTCTCAATATTACTGCCTGTCTTTATTTTATTTGTTTTTTTTTTTTTTTTTATTTTTTTTTTTTAAGGGTTACCTCATCCGCTAATTCAGAGTCGAGTGGGTCTTGGGCTCTTCTCATCAAGGCTTATCATATTATGAGAAAATGTGTGCTAAGAGATAAGTCTTACTTATTGTATACGGTGCATCATTGGGTAGTAATAAATAAAATGGGTTAGTACTAGACACTAGTTCGTGTCTTGCCTCAAGTCCGGGCACCTAAATCAAGTGGGATATGTCATCGGTCTACTCAGTTCAGTGCTATTTTAAAAGGAAGTAATACACGAGTGTTATAAGAAAGAATTACATGAACTGATCTAATCTAATTAGTGTGATAAATTATTACTAGTTATTGATTTGACTTTATCATAAATTATGTTCGGAATAAGAACAAGTAATGTAGCATGCGAAATATGGTGAATGGAACAAAACCTAAAGATGTTGAGTGAGCCATATAAAGCAACGTGTAAAATAATGAAGACATTGATAAAGAATTTACAGTCAAAAAATCACTAGGAAAATAGATGGCGTTGGCAACTTTAATTACCATATGAAGTTGCCAATTTCTTCCAACTTTTCCACAAGTGTAAAAAAACTCTTCATACGTGTCCCTGCAACGACTCATGGCACGTATATTAAAAGAATTAAGAATCTATTCACTTATTATAATGTTGTAGAAAAGGTATAATTATTAGAATATTATTGACAATTTTGATTCTTTAATTAGTTACATTTTAGAACTATATATCTTGTGTTTTAAAAACCATACACAACATAATTCTTTTCCAATTTGATAAGAAGCTATAACCTTTTTATGAATTGGAAGATCCTTTCTTATAGAAGATTCCTCTAATTCAACACTGATTTACACGATATAATGTTAGATGTACAAGAAGATTTTTTAGAAAATGATTGAGGAATGTTGGTTTAATTTTGTGAACATAATTCCATGTTCGGATTTCGCTTCAACTAAAAATTATCCACTAAATTTCAATTTTATATTGTAAAAATAAGTTTAAATTAGTAAATTCATGTAACAGTCATAGTAAAATACAAATTAATACAATGTAACACTTTGATAAATACTACATACATTTTATTGCTTGTTCAATGGTTCTTAACATCAAAATCGTTTTCTAATCACCAAAATCGATCACTTATTAGCATAAGAAAAACCAAATCATTAATAAATTCGACTGAATTTGATCACAAATCTTGGGTACCAACTGACAAGTGCAATGACACAACACTATAATTGTCTGTATTTTTCAAGTGCAATTGAATTTTTAATTACATCTAATACAAAGTACGTAGTAGACTTAATGCTCCCATTAAGTTGACTATTAAGATTTTGGTTATTTTATTGAGAGAATGCATTAGAATCGGCCGTACAAGTGTTTATCGTACACTTTGGTTGTTCTTTACTTATAACGTTTTCAGTATGTATTAGGTGGTTTTTGTGATTAGTATACACTTATACAAGTTAAAATATGTCAGTTCATGTCTCTTTTACGTGCAAATGTTATCTCTAATACAACTTTTTAATGAGATTATTGTTTGTTTTATTATTAGTCTATATGTCTAATTGTACTTCATATCAGTTATTTAACAAGAGTATAAGAATAGTGTTTCAACTTGATCAACTTGTAAATTGTAATTCTCTATGAAGATTCCACTATAAATGATGTTTTATATTGGATAACCGCACTGTTCTTAATTACATGAAATAATGTTCGGAATATATATTCCCTCTTTTTATTTATTTGACGATAATTTAGAACTTTAATTTGCATTTATATGAAGTTACCACATGAAAAATATTACTCGTATATAACATACACATAAAAGTAAAATATCATCAAATATTAATAACATCAATTGAAAATAATTTTATCTATATTCCTAATTAATCAATATCACGACTATTGATTTGGCGGCCTTAAACTTGGGGAAGAATATTGATTGGACGATGTACATGAAATATGACTCTTTACATATGCATGAACCGGCCAAGTTGAATAATAATAATCACAATCTATAATTGAATAAGCAAAAAACATTTTTAAAAGTTTAGTTTGTCAAAAATGATACAAATAATAAATAATGTCAAATATTTCTAGTTCTTATTAAGGAAAACTTTGGTTCTCCCTGACATTCTCCAACAATAAACTAAGTAATAACATTAAAAAAACAAGTCTTTTCACTACTAAATCAAGTAAAGCATCCCCCAATAAGATAAGTAGCTGTCCTTCTTGTTTCTTTTGCATGAGTAATTTATATGATTAGCAACATATCCCATGCTTCTTGATAAGATATTTTTTCATCAAAGTCATGTTTTATGAACAAAAAGCTGAATTCCTATTCGTCCAAAGATAATGATTTTTAATTAGACAAAAAGTAAATTCTCCACTCTTAACAGCCAATTGGCCATTGACAAATAGATTCTTGCACTTTGGTTTACTTTTACTATATTAACGACTACGATAAAACATTTTCAGAGATCATCAGACTTTTTAGCCCTATTTTATATGTACGTGTTGGCCTGATATAAGTAAACTAAAATTTTTATCAACTTAGTATAAGTAAAAAGTATAAAATAAAACACGTAAAATCGGATTTTAAATCCAAACCACTGGAATCAACTACGAGTTTCTCTTATATAATTGATTCAAAACTAGAAAGGGTATCTTAGCTATTGTAAGAGAGATTTCCAAAAAGAAAAAAGGGCATCTCTAACACTACATATTGTCTCACCTTGTTGCATCTATTGAACTTATTCAAACGTGTGTTATTTTTTGTTTTCATGATAGCTGGACAAATCTTGATGGTTATGTCCAAATTCATTCTAAAATATTATTAAGCTTCTAAAAAAAATGAAATTCTATTCTCTCACTAGCTCCCTATTTTTGGTTTCTCTTTTTCTCTCTCTAAATTTTGTGTCTATAAAAAGGCCATACATGTAGGTAATAACCATTATATTGCACCAAAGATAAAAGAGAAGAAACTTGTATTTTTCTAGTATACACTTCTTTGTATTGTAACTTGTTACTTAATATTTCATCACTTAATTTTAATCAACATGGCAAGAGGTGTAGAACCTTTGATAATAGGAAGGGTTATAGGAGAGGTGGTTGACATTTTCAACCCAAGTGTGAGGTTAGATGTGACTTACAACTCAAGCAAGCAAGTTTCCAATGGCCATGAGCTTATGCCTGCTGTTGTTGCATCGAAACCTCGAGTCGAGATTGGTGGTGAAGACATGAGGTCCTCTTATACTTTGGTAAGTTTCACTACACCCTTTCCTAGCTAACCAGATGCATGGTTGTTTATGTTGCATGTAAAAGAAAAGAAATAAACAATACTTAGCTTTTTCTGGATTTTGCTGTTATTATCAACATTGTAATTTGAATTGGTAATCTGACAACTGATCAGGACGAAGGTAGTTATAAACTATAAACATGAGTTCACATTGTTATATTTGGATGCACAAGCTATATTTCAACTTAATTTATTTTTCATTTATATATATACACGTAATTACTAATTTATAGTTTTGATTACGTATGTTATGGTGTTGTTTTGTAGATCATGGTAGACCCAGATGCTCCAAGCCCTAGCGACCCATACCTAAGAGAACATCTCCATTGGTTTGTATTTCTATAACCCACCAAATTTCTCTTATTTTCTTCAACTTTTTTGTTAGAAGTAATTATATTGTGAATTTATGATGTAGTCTCATGTATGTATCTTTTTTTTTCTGTACATCTTGTAGGATTGTGACGGATATTCCTGGAACAACTGATATTACATTCGGTAAGTCTTAATCTCACAACGAAATTTGAACTAGTAATGTTGCGTGGTTGCTAATAGTGGACAAAGCAAGTGCTAATACTTAATTGATGTAGACATCTAGAAATTTCTTTTGAACAATCCTTGTGCTTGCTTCCATCTATTATGCATATGCATCTTCTAAATAAAGTTGAATAATATCTCAATTTTATGTCATTGGTTCGCATCTTCTAGAGTTCTAGTCCAATGAAATTTTTTCTCCATTTAATCACATTAACAACTTTACAAAGCAATAGTAATTTTTTTTTAAAAAAAAGAGATACAAAGCAATAGTACTTATTAATGGCAAAGAATTTTAATTAATAATAAATAATATTTTTTTGCTAACTCTTATCTTATTTAGAAACATTCCTCGTGTATGATGCCATGCCAACTATAAGCATAAATAAAAGTACGAGTATTAATATTATAAAAGTACAAGTATTAATATTAGTTAATCATATTAGTAAATAATATGTACAAATATTACTATTGTTTTTGATAATCTAATGTGTTTACAAAATTGAACATGTAGGTAAAGAAATAGTTTGCTATGAAACACCAAAGCCGGTGGTTGGAATACATAGGTACATCTTCATATTGTTCAAGCAAACAAGAGGAAGGCAGACAGTGAGGACACCGTCGTCAAGGGATTGTTTCAACACTAGGAGGTTTGCTGCTGAAAATGGCTTAGGCCTCCCGGTCGCTGTCGTCTACTTCAATGCACAAAGGGAGACTGCTGCCAGAAGAAGATGATCAACATTAATCCAAGCGAGATACATAATATATACACATTATGTTAAGGTTATTATTAAGGTTTCTAGCTAGTATTACATTTTATGTTGCATGCATGTTATGTACGTTTTAATTGGGAAAGGGGTACGTAGGTTTTGGAAGGTTAAGTTAAGAAATGGTCGTGTTTCATAAGAGAAAGTAGCTTAGGTTTCTGAATTATTATATTTCAGAAATTGCTAGCTATGTATGTCATTCATGTGTTATTGTATGTCCTTTTTCCAGTGTTTTTTAATGAAATGGTTTAATGATCCTCTTTGACGTGATTTACTTGTTTAATACTCCATTCGTTTCATTACAATTATCACTCGTATTTAAAAGAAAACATATTCATGTTTAATTGTTAGATTTAATTCAATATGTTGTTTTAAAATGTCAAATTTTATTATTTTAGATAATACCTAACAATAAGTATGTTCAAATATACATCTTGAATATTTTACGTAATATAAAATGAAATAGACGCTATATCAGAAGGTGCTGTACTTATGTGGTGGCTTTGCAAAATTGAAGTGGGAGGGGCCCACTTCTTCCATCATACCTCTGTAGAGTGTAGTCTAGTACTAATATTAACTGAATGTCCCATCACCTGTATCAGTATGCACTTCACCTTACCTGTCCAACTAGTTAATCTGATCGTTCAGTTTTGGATTGAGTAAATTTGGGTTTAAAAAATACAGTATTGTTTTTTGGGTCACTTATCGCTAATCATTTCCTAATTACCTCATATTGATTTTCTTATACTATCTCCGTTTCATATTAAGTGAAATAAATAAATTTTTTTATATTTCACAAATAATACCCCTTTATTGCAATTAATATGTAATGAAGGTAGTAATATACTTTGTATGTTTTGAGATCGAGAAAGGTATATTCAAGACCCTAATTTTAATCGGGTTTTCGGGATGATCCAATTCTATATCTTACAGTTGGTTCTGATAACTGGTTGGAGGTGCTTGCTTTATAATCCTACATGAAGTGCAAGAAAATTTCTTTGAGTAAGGTCCCTTACATTCTCATTCAATGTATCTAAAGCCTAAAAATGACTCAAGATGTAATTGTTATGTCTAATTAGGTGAATTCCTAATTACTTTGTCAGAAATTACAACTGGAAAAGTTTACAATTTTTCCTGTCCTAAAAGAATAAGTCATATCTATTCAAGGTCATTATTGAAGTAAAGTCCTGTTCTTTTGAGCTTCTAGGCAAAGCAGAGCAGAATAGAGCAGATTTCATTATTATTATTACCGCATAATAATAATAATAATAATAATAATAATAATAATAATAATAATAATAATAATAATAATAATAATAATAATAATAATAATAATAAAATCACGACCACACAAACATACAAAGGCGTCAAAGGAGAAGACCCCGTAACGTCCACACAAACATCACGACCACGATCCCAATAATAAAGTAACAAATCAGCAGGTCTGAGAGGCCCATCATTCCCTCCAGTCAACCCTATGTCCACCTCCTTTCGAGCTGAAATCCCAAATTTGTAGCAGATATCAACAAGGGTATCCCGAACAACATTATGCCGATGTTTAATACCCACAATACCAGCACACGACACCGCGTGATCACCATAAATATCCCCAGTGAAAACCCGAGAACAAGCCAAACATGGTGTCAAGATAGAGAACAAAGGAACACCCATCCTGTAGCACAACACACATCGGTAGGTCTTAGCGTTCATCGTCTGACCTAACCCAGAAATAGGGACTGCCCGAAGCCAAGCAGAGGTGTGATCTCCCTGCTGCGATTTCCACAATGCTGATTGCCGAGGAGACAAAGAATAGGCGGATTCTGCAGAAGCCGTAATCTTTGTGAAATATATATATCTGCCAATTTCTTCATGAGTTTAGGGGCAGCGATCTCACTAGGATTAGACATAATGTCAGACTCCACTATTCCATTAAACAGACTCAAAGCATCAACAAAGGCTCGTCCAAGACCAACAACACCAGCATGCCGAAGAAGCTGAGTTTGCAACCCAGCAGACAGTAACCGAGAAGCAAGAAAGGCATAATGACGAACATCACCAGTGGAGTAAACCCCAAGCCCTCCAAACGCAAATGGTAAGGTAGCAAGCTGCCATTGCCAGTCGCCAAACCCAGGCCCCGAAGCAGTAACAATACGCTCCAAGGAAGATCGAAGAGCCCCGTCAAAAGTACGCTGAGCCGCCTCAAAAGTACTAGGGGGACAAGTACGCAAAGCAAAGTAGAGTTTAGAAACTCCGGTACAAGCCCTAAGTAACAATAGCTCACACTGAGGATCATCAAGGTTGGCAACCTTATCCATTAGCGCAATAGTCTTGGTCACCCTCTGCATCACAAGCTCACCACTAAAATCAGAATCAGAACTAGCAGGACCACCAAGCAACTTAACCCCGCGCAAAGGTCGAGCAATATCAGGCGGAGAGACACCCACAAGCCTGCTTCTAGGGTCTTCCGAAGGCCAGAAAACTTCGGTTTTTTTCACGTTAAGATGTAACCCAAAACCAGGCCCTTCCTCCATAATCAACTGCAAAACCTTCCCCACCACCAACGTGTCACCAATAACAGTGTCGTCATCCAAATACCAAGCCTGAAGACATATATCAAAATTGTCCATGATTTTACACACTAAGGACTGTAAAACCAAAGCAAAAAGAAGAGGACCAAGAGGATCACCCTGCTGCACCCCCTGAGACGACCATAAGGTGTGGTCCCCATAATACAATCTTGCTGGATTAGAATAGCAGAATTCAACCCAACGCGAAAGGCCTGGACAACGACGACGAACTTCCCGTAACATGACCCCACGATCAACTAGATTGAAGGCGTTTTGAAAATCCACCAATAACATAGAAAGACCAACATCAGAACCACGATCCTCAATAAACCGATTTACAGCATGAAGAATCGCCTCACCACTCGAAGAAACACCAACACCAAATTGGAGACCAGCAAAGTAACTTCCTAAAGACTGGCCAACCATAACAGCACCGACCTTCGAAACCAGACGCCGCCAAACAGTACCCACAGCTATAGGACGAATACCACCACCAGGCTTAACCAGAGGTGTAAGAGGAGCACTAGCAATATACTCTCCTAGCTCCAAAGGACACTTTCCAGCAAGAAAGAGATTAACCACCCCGGAAATAGAGTCAACTAACTCATCCGATAGAGCCACAACAGCACCACTCAAACAATCCATAAGGTGCTGAGCACGTAAACCATCCCTACCACAAGATGTACCACGCGGAAAGCTCTTAATCCGGTCCAAAACAACATCAGAAGTAGTAACAAGATGAAGGCCATCAACAGGTATATCAGGCAAGGAAGGAGCAGGAGAAGTAGGGTGTTTAGACTGTAAATCTGTGAGAGTGGCGTCATTATAAGGAGCAACGCCTGAAGAAGAAAGAACCCGAACTGCAGCGGTATAATGACCATCACATATCTTCCTACGACACTGCTTGATATTCCGCTCTTCCAAATCAAGGTCCTCAACTGCCAAAGTAGGAGAAACCTCTGCTAGAGTTTCCCTCACAAGCTGCAAACTACCACCGGGAGCACTCTAGGAACAAATAGCACGGGATATACTCTCTTCCTGATGCCGACGCTTCACTGAAGACCGAGACTCACGACTACTCCGCGGGCGAAAGGTCTTAAGGGTGCAAAGAGGTAACACCAACAAAGAGACCCAAGAAGAAATATCATCAGGCTTAGAGATCACATTATCAAGAGCACCTTTCAAAACCCGAGAGAACCCCAAACGACACTTGGGAGGGATAGACTTCACAGTGCGAAACCCTTTAGAGAACAAACCATCAAGGAGAGCCACATCAAATCCAAATTGTTGATCTTGCACCAAATCACCCATGCGCCCGAGCTGAGGAGAAGAGGAGGGAGCTTGAGGCTTGGAGAAACCATAAAGGACAAAACGAACGACACCATCTCCTTTGTCTGGGGGTGACACGAACTCACCCATACTATGACGGCATCTGGCACGATGCGTATGTGTTCTGTAGCAAACTCCACATAATTAACCAAATCCCCATACGCGAAAAAGTAACTTCAGCTTCATTGTAAACAGCCAAATTAGAAGTAAGAGAATGCCGAGTGGTATCCCGCGCACCAATACAACAATGACGATCAGCAAGATGCTTTATAAGAGAACTTCTAGTAAGGCCATTTCCACTACCATCCTGACTACCACTAAGACCCACAAAGGGACAATGAAACTTCACAACGGCAGTTGACATAGCCACACATAACCACCAAAAACTACAGCAAAAACCAGCCACCTGAAACACCAAAACACCAATGAAACCAAGACACAACAACCAACACCAAAACACTCCCAATATACACCTAAACTGCACCAAAACTGACCCTACTGCCAAACCGTCAACAAAACAGCCAAACCGTCAACAAAACTGCACCCTACTGCCAAACCGTCAACAAAACAGCCAAACCGTCAACAAAACTGCACCTCAAAACCGCCAACAAAACAGCCAAACCGTCAACAAAACAGCCAGAGACTGCCTGCCACCAAACTGCACCAAACAGCCCCTCAAAACTGCACCTCAAAACTGCACCAAACAGCCCCTCAAAACTGCACCAAACAACCCCTAACAGCCAGAGCCTGCCTACCTCAAAACTGCACCAAACTGCACCAAACAACCCCTCAAAACTGCACCAAACAGCCCCTCAAAACTGCACCAAACAGCCCCTCAAAACAACCCCTTAAAAACCGAGACCAATAAACGGAAAAAACGCAGCCTGAGAAAGCCGCTTGAAAGCCACCTAAAAGCCACCAGAACCACGAGCCAAAAACTGCCAAACAGTCACCTGAAACCCACCTAAAAGCCACCAGAAACACGAGCCAAAAACAGCCAGAAACGTGAGCAGCAAACCTCCTAAATCACGACCAGAATTTCGCCTGAAAACAACCAATAAAACCTGGCCACAAACGAAGCCACTTAGCCAGAAAAACCGACGATTAAAACCACCACTACATTCGCCTGTAAATAGCCGTAGAAACGCCTTCAAAACACCCTTGAAGGCTGCACAAAACAATCCGAAACAGCCTGCAAACCGTTATTATTATTATTATTATTATTATTACTATTACTACTACTACTACTATTATTACTACAACTATTATTATTACTATTATTATTGTTATCACTATTATTATTATCGCATTATTATTAAAATCATTACATATTATTATTAAATATTAATTATTATTATAATATTAATTATTATT